AAAATTGATGCCTGGACAGTTGAAAGCATTTCCCAAAGTGAAATAGCTCTAGGATTAAATAGAGCTAAGTCATCAATAAGAAAATTTTTGCAGCAGTAAGGAAGTTCAACAGGAAAATCAAATTCTAGACAAAAAACAAAAGTGACTGCTTGACAATAAAGGATATGGTTTCTTTTGCCAATTTTTCAATTGGAAAAAAAATGTGTGTTTCAAAATCAATTGCTGATTGCATTTTGTTGAAATCTGGAAAAGCTAAATTCAAAAGAGCAAAGAGAAGACCTTATCTTAAATTACAACAAAAAGAGGCAAAGTTTACCTGAGCCAAAAATCATATTGCCAGGAAAAATATTAAACTTTTGGATTTGCCTGCATTAAGTCTCAACATAAATGCAATATAAATTTGTGGGAATCATTGTGAATCACATTTATAAGGATGGTCAACAATTTTCTAATGTTACAGACTTGAAAACTGCAATTCATGATGCTTGGAACATAATTTCTGAAAGAATTGAAAATTTAATTAAATGTATGAAATATTGGGTATTTAATTAATTTGGCAAGTTTATTTGTTACTAATTCTCATTTTTTATATGCATTTCACTTAATTCACTTCAGTTGATAATTTTTTGGACAAGGTAAGATTTTTTTCTGTCAATTTAAAGCAAAATATATGGAAGATACAACTTTGTAGCATTTAATTTGTGTAATAAGCATGATTAAAAACAACTTTGTTTTTCATCTAGATAAGATAACTGACAATATTTTTTAAAATTTCAAAACGTGTTGATAATTATTTGGAATGCATCTTACATACATACATATGTACATACATACATATATACATAGTATAGCATGTTACTCTAAATGTTAGATACAAAAAATGCAAACTTGCTCAGTTTTTAATGTGTTTATTTCAGTTTGAATTTGAGAGTTTTTACTAAGAACTAACTGGTATCATACAAAAAACAGCAAGTTTTATAAAATTTTTTATAAAGCAAGTTTTATAAAATTCAATACTATCTTAATTACATTTATGTTTTGTATTTATGTAATCTGAGCATTATTTCTGTTTGGCAAATGTGTTTATTGTAACATCCTCATTAAATATACACTTCTTGCAATATTACTTAAATTAAGTAATTAATATAAAGAATAAAAATTAATTAAAAAATTTTTCAGCTTTGTCTGCATACCAGAAATATCGTGCATTAGTAGAAGACCATTGGAAGGTAAGAGTTTTGTTTAAATTATTTGTTAGTAGTGTGGTATCAAGTTATTTAAAATATCTTTAGACTGCTTTGATTTGGATATTTATAATACCAGTATTTTAAAAAATACTGGTAATATTTAAAAAATGTAAAATGAATCATTGTTATTGTCTAAATTTTAATCTTTGACAAGTATAATTCATTTTTATTAGTATTTAACACTTGTCAATAATCCATATATACTAATAATTATTACTATTATTACAAATATAATGTGTATTTATAAAAAAAAGTACAATAATTAAATTTAGCTATGTTTTAGTGTTAAAAAATTTTTGCACTATAAATATCTGTATGGTGTAATGATTTTTCAATACATTGGAATCCAATTAATTTGAAATCTTTTATTTGAATGCATGTGTTTTTTTTATTACTTTCATACAGGAATTTAATGTTAATTTGATTTAATGAAAAATAGGTGTATTTTTTTAACTCAAATTGAAAATTCTGCATATAAGTTTTTGCATGTATTTATTGGTATATGCATGTATAATAAGCACCTGTAGAATAACATTGTGTATATTGACTGATAAACACATTATTCTGTATTGTGACATGACACTGATGATGTGTTTATTTGCTGACAAACACATTATCAGTTTCATTTGATCTCAACTGGTCAATGACAAATGTATCAGTCAACTTAGGAAAAATGCTAAGTGTCAGAGTGTTGAAATTGCAAGTTGTGTGAGGAAAAAATGGGCTCCACATGGAAGTATATTGATCAGCCATTTTCTGCAAAACTCAAAGGGAATTCTACAACTATTCTCACTTCCTCAGCTGTTTCTTTACAAATATAAACAAAACACCAAATGCTTGCTGAGCTTATTATTACTTTAATTTCAAACGTTTTCAGCCCAATTCCAATAGGCCATCTTCAAGAACTTATTATTCTACAATCGAATACAACTTTTGAATAAATTTTTTTTTTTTTTCGAATTATTTGAAAAAAAAATTTTTGAATAATTTCGAAATATTTTGAAAATTTATTCAAAAGTTGTATTCGATTGTAGAATAATAAGTTCTTGAAGATGGCCTATTGGAATTGGGCTGAAAACGTTTGAAATTAAAGTAATAATAAGCTCAGCAAGCATTTGGTGTTTTGTTTATATTTGTAAAGAAACAGCTGAGGAAGTGAGAATAGTTGTAGAATTCCCTTTGAGTTTTGCAGAAAATGGCTGATCAATATACTTCCATGTGGAGCCCATTTTTTCCTCACACAACTTGCAATTTCAACACTCTGACACTTAGCATTTTTCCTAAGTTGACTGATACATTTGTCATTGACCAGTTGAGATCAATTGAAACTGATAATGTGTTTGTCAGCAAATAAACACATCATCAGTGTCATGTCACAATACAGAATAATGTGTTTATCAGTCAATATACACAATGTTATTCTACAGGTGCTTATTATACATGCATATACCAATAAATACATGCAAAAACTTATATGCAGAATTTTCAATTTGAGTTAAAAAAATACACCTATTTTTCATTAAATCAAATTAACATTAAATTCCTGTATGAAAGTAATAAAAAAAACACATGCATTCAAATAAAAGATTTCAAATTAATTGGATTCCAATGTATTGAAAAATCATTACACCATACAGATATTTATAGTGCAAAAATTTTTTAACACTAAAACATAGCTAAATTTAATTATTGTACTTTTTTTTATAAATACACATTATATTTGTAATAATAGTAATAATTATTAGTATATATGGATTATTGACAAGTGTTAAATACTAATAAAAATGAATTATACTTGTCAAAGATTAAAATTTAGACAATAACAATGATTCATTTTACATTTTTTAAATATTACCAGTATTTTTTAAAATACTGGTATTATAAATATCCAAATCAAAGCAGTCTAAAGATATTTTAAATAACTTGATACCACACTACTAACAAATAATTTAAACAAAACTCTTACCTTCCAATGGTCTTCTACTAATGCACGATATTTCTGGTATGCAGACAAAGCTGAAAAATTTTTTAATTAATTTTTATTCTTTATATTAATTACTTAATTTAAGTAATATTGCAAGAAGTGTATATTTAATGAGGATGTTACAATAAACACATTTGCCAAACAGAAATAATGCTCAGATTACATAAATACAAAACATAAATGTAATTAAGATAGTATTGAATTTTATAAAACTTGCTTTATAAAAAATTTTATAAAACTTGCTGTTTTTTGTATGATACCAGTTAGTTCTTAGTAAAAACTCTCAAATTCAAACTGAAATAAACACATTAAAAACTGAGCAAGTTTGCATTTTTTGTATCTAACATTTAGAGTAACATGCTATACTATGTATATATGTATGTATGTAAGATGCATTCCAAATAATTATCAACACGTTTTGAAATTTTAAAAAATATTGTCAGTTATCTTATCTAGATGAAAAACAAAGTTGTTTTTAATCATGCTTATTACACAAATTAAATGCTACAAAGTTGTATCTTCCATATATTTTGCTTTAAATTGACAGAAAAAAATCTTACCTTGTCCAAAAAATTATCAACTGAAGTGAATTAAGTGAAATGCATATAAAAAATGAGAATTAGTAACAAATAAACTTGCCAAATTAATTAAATACCCAATATTTCATACATTTAATTAAATTTTCAATTCTTTCAGAAATTATGTTCCAAGCATCATGAATTGCAGTTTTCAAGTCTGTAACATTAGAAAATTGTTGACCATCCTTATAAATGTGATTCACAATGATTCCCACAAATTTATATTGCATTTATGTTGAGACTTAATGCAGGCAAATCCAAAAGTTTAATATTTTTCCTGGCAATATGATTTTTGGCTCAGGTAAACTTTGCCTCTTTTTGTTGTAATTTAAGATAAGGTCTTCTCTTTGCTCTTTTGAATTTAGCTTTTCCAGATTTCAACAAAATGCAATCAGCAATTGATTTTGAAACACACATTTTTTTTCCAATTGAAAAATTGGCAAAAGAAACCATATCCTTTATTGTCAAGCAGTCACTTTTGTTTTTTGTCTAGAATTTGATTTTCCTGTTGAACTTCCTTACTGCTGCAAAAATTTTCTTATTGATGACTTAGCTCTATTTAATCCTAGAGCTATTTCACTTTGGGAAATGCTTTCAACTGTCCAGGCATCAATTTTGTCTTTTTCACAATCACTTAAATCATATTTTTTACCCATAACAACAATTTTCCAATGCTTCAAATGTGTCAAATATTTTCATATGATTATAGAGGAACTATATATATATGTGTGTATATATATATATGATGTGCATATATTTTCCTAGAAAGTATTTTTAACAAACAATTGATAACTTTTTGAAACAGTTTAAGATTTCTTTCTGCTAATTTAAAAAAAAATATGGAAGATAAACTTTGTACCATTTCATTCATTTATTAAACATGATTAAAAACAACATTTTTTAAAATCTAGTTAACATAAAATTTTAACATTTTTAAAAAACTATGTTAATAATTATTTGGGATGCACCTTATGTATGTTATCTGTTGCATTTATACATGAAATAGGTCATGCCATAGAAAATACAAATATTTTTGTATATGACCATCGCATATTTTACAACTGACAAAGGCCTCACAACTGAGTTAAAAAATATTTTTTTTGATATCAGTCAGTCATGATAAATGATAACTAATAAAATTCTGAATATTTATAAAACAATTAGAGATGATATGATATTGAATTCTGCTAATAAAATATGAAACTAATAATTTTCCAACCAATCACTTTTATCCATACTTTCTATAGGTGTTAGTAATAAATGAAAGCCTGAAAGCTCATTGGTTTAGAGAATATTCACCTTGTTCACTAATCAAGACAGTTTTAAGATCTGAGTCCTAGGAAATTGTAATTGTCTAGTTTGCCTAGGTCTGACTCCAGTCCTATTTTTAGGAAAAAATTGAACACACCTTGAATAAATTTATAACAGTATAGAAAAATTACCAAATTGAAAAAATTGTCGTCAAATTGTCAACTGGCTTAAAACATTGCCAAATCTGGAGATAAATCATTAGACCTGGCAACAATAATCATCTGTTGCCCACCTATTGCTACACATCATCCCCTATAAAGATGGCATCCTTCAAAATTAACAAAACTATATGTTATGCAGTCATTGGTGGAAAATCATATGCATAAAGGATGCAGTGAATATCCTCTCTGCACATGATTTTCCACCAATGACACCTTGAACTGGTTTTATCTTGGGGTTATTTTTACATCATGATATGTCATCATCATATTCAAATGTCTGTCATGAAAAAAAAATGCAAGGAATGTACAGGTAGCCCTCGGTTTATGCCGGTTCAATTTATGCCGATTCACAATAACACCGCTGTGCAATTTCCCGTTTTGAGGTGTAATTCCCCGATTTTCCCTATGCTAAACTGATTTTCATTTCAGTGATGACGTATTTACCAAGCCGCAACATTGTACATTCGTTAAAACAAAGATTTTTATTAAATNCTATATGTTATGCAGTCATTGGTGGAAAATCATATGCATAAAGGATGCAGTGAATATCCTCTCTGCACATGATTTTCCACCAATGACACCTTGAACTGGTTTTATCTTGGGGTTATTTTTACATCATGATATGTCATCATCATATTCAAATGTCTGTCATAAAAAAAAAAATGCAAGGAATGTACAGGTAGCCCTCGGTTTATGCCGGTTCAATTTATGCCGATTCACAATAATGCCGCTGTGCAATTTCCCGTTTTGAGGTGTAATTCCCCGATTTTCCCTACGCTAAACTGATTTTCATTTCAGTGATGACGTATTTACCAAGCCGCAACATTGTACATTCGTTAAAACAAAGATTTTTATTAAATATATTTATTTTTTCTGTTTAATATTATTAGGTATTTCATTACCTAACGTTTCAAACGTTTTCAGTCCAATTCCAATTCAAACGTTTTCAGTCCAATTCCAATAGGCCATCTTCAAGAACTTTCATCATATAAACATTTGCATTAAATTAATATTAAAATACTACGTTTAGCTACCCACGAGTCAAGATATTAAACTTAATAGTCCAATAAATGGCTTCCGAATTCATAGCGCCAATTAATGTATCCCATATCAGTTCATTCAGGAAAACACCTTACGACACAATAGCACTTCCGGCGATCACAAATTATCGTTAGTGAGACAAATCTACTTCTCGTTGGCCAGATGATATCTATCTCTCCTTAGCCACCTTGGATTTTGCCGCTCAAACTGACCTTATATATGCGCTACGGCGACCGGTGGTGTTCTTGAAGATGGCCTATTGGAATTGGGCTGAAAACGTTTGAAATTAAAGTAATAATAAGCTCAGCAAGCGTTTGGTGTTTTGTTTATATTTGTAAAGATACGGCTGAGGAAGTGAGAATAGTTGGGTATATTAATTAAAAGCAAAATGTTCTGTCACCGCTGAAACTGAAACTGAAACTAACCTTTTACAAANAAAGAAATCAAAAATGTAAACAATTAAAGATGGATACTTTTTTCCGAAAAATGTAAGAAATTCGAAACTAAAATTTTTAAATAAAAACATTTTACTTTATTTTATGATAAAATACATTTTAAAAATTAAAAATTTATATGTATTTTGTATTATATTGTATTAATAAACAAAATTATTAGCTTATTTTTCACTTATGTAGAACCTAACCCTATACCTCACTGTAAATATGGGTTCGTTTTACACCGATTCGATTTGTGCCGGCTTTTGTAGGAACGGAACTACGGCGTAAACCAAGGGCTACCTATATATTAAAAAAATGAATAACAAATCAGAATATTAGTTTGTAAAATGAACCAGTTTTCCTATATATTGAGAACATTTCAATATGCTGACATATCTGTATTGAATCAGTAATGGTTAAATCTCTAAAACAAAGTAAGTGTTAATAATATTTTCAAAAAAAGTACAAAGCAAAATGTCAAATACATTGCTATTAACTTAATTTTCAGATTTATATTTAAAACTGTACATATCAGTTTAAAATATTAAAACTTTATAATTAACACATTTTAGGTTTACCTTTTGCATATTCTTCTAAAAGTAAATTATAATGACCAAGCTGACAATATATTTTAGGAGAAAATTCCTTTATTTCAATAGTTTCATTTCCTTTATCTCTATTTTGATCAGATATTGCTGACTGAGAATCTCCATTTTTGTCACCTGACTGTTTTTGTGTTAACAGTAATTTCTTTTCTTTCAACTGCTGATGCTGAACAAGAGTCTTTTCTATACATTTCACAGCCTAAAAAATATTATATATTTAGGTTTTTATAAAGAAGAATTAAATAATACTATTGCATTAAATCAATCTGTATGGGGAAAAAAAATAAAAATAACAACACAAAACATATCATAAAAAATAAATTTCAAGTAAATTCTGCTAGTTCAGGAATTCAACTTTTTATTAAATAAAAGAAAATTAGCAGAATTTACTTATTTATTGACTAGTTTCATTACCTTTTATGTTAAGTACAGCTGTCCCTTGATAATCCGACAGGTATGGGACCAAAGGGATGTCGGATTACCAAAAGTGTCCGGATTACCGAAAGTGATTACATATTTGGCATTGTTTTTCTAGCAGTAGCCTACAATATTCCCTACTCCAACTGTTCAAACAGAACTGCTCAAGGAAAACACATGAAATGTGTGTCATCGTGTAAGAATTGGGTGGGAACATTCATGTCGCAACATGCTTCTGTGCAAGTAGATACGTAATGGGGACGGGCACCTTGACGAGAGGTGCGTCGGATTACTGAGCATGTCAGATTACAAAACATCGAACTATCAAGGAACAGCTGTAATTTTAAAATATTAAAGAAAATCTTACCTTTAATACTAAAAGTTTTTTCTTAGCATTTTCAGGAATTCCAAGTTTTAAAAATCCAAATAAACGACTAAAAAAGAAAATAGTAAAATTTGAGGAAAGTATTCTGATTATTATAATAACTATATGTTATAAATTTATTTCAAATTCTCTCCTAAAATGATATTTTTATATAAGTAAAGTTATTTAATATATGTAAGTTATATGATCTTATATGTATCCCCTAGATTTGCAATAAAGGGTATATGTATCTAGCTTATTCTGAATAAGATAAATATTCAGACATAGAAATAGCAACAGCATATGAAATCTTTGCAAAAGAAAATGTAAAAAAAAATCATAATGCTAAGAGCAGAGCATAACTTTCACCTCCCTAACCACTTATTAACCAACTTTAACACTAGAATGTCCAATCTTTCCATTTACAGTAAATTCCACAGAACTATGTATAGCAAAACTGAGAAAAATAATTGTAGTGACATCTGTTTAATGTGGTTAGAATCTTTAAAATGTGCTCTATTGAGTAGTACCAATTTAACTGGTATATGAAACATTGATGTTGTTTGAAACAGACATTTTCAAAATGAGCACAAAATACTTAAAAGCATTGCAAAGCAATGTTTTTAGTTACCCACTAAAAAGGACCAAAACTATCAGTCACAGCAGCTGCAAAATCAATTAAAAAATCAAATTCTTTCATGGAGGAGTGAGTAAGTCAATGTAAGGAGGTTAAAAATGTGGATGACTTGCTAGAGAGAGAATCAAATTGTTTGATGACAAGAAAGTAAGACAAAGTGATCTACCAGCTTTATGAATGATGTCCAAGTTTAACATTTCGCAAAGACCAAGTTTTGTTTTGTAACAAGAGAATAGACATTGGAATAAATACAATTAGATGTCATATACATGAAAAAAGTCTTAAATACCAGTCCACTATACAGAAACTGCTTTTGTCAGAAAAGAATGCTGAAAAACAAGTGACATGGGAAAATAAGGGCCATGATTGGAGTAATGTACTTCATACATGAAGCATCTTTCTGGATATGGAATCCACTTAAAAGAGCCTGGTCAACATCAAGTAACAGAGCTGTTCAGTGTACTGTCAAACATCCAATAAAAGTCCATGTTTGGGGATGCTTCTGTGAATGTAGTTTTGGGACACTACCTCTTTGTTAACAACCTGAATGCAGAAAAAATGTGCAATATTTATAAAACATGTTAATTGAGTTCATGACATAAGTCAGTGGTTGTTACAAAGAATAATGACCCAAAATATCAGAACCATTTGTGATGCAGTTCTGGAAGAAAAATGGCAATGATGAATTGACCAACATGATCCAGATAACAATCCAATCGAAAATGTGTGGTCATATATAAAGCATAAGATTCAAAAAGTCTGCATACAATCTCAAGCAGCTTATGAAAGAAATTTGGCAAATATGGTACTCTACCACAAGAATATGCAGGAAATTTGGTGGAAAGCATGGACAGAAGATGCTAAACAATAACTGACAACAGAGGTGACTTGACTTACTGCTAAGTATTTGTGCAATAGTTTAAAGTCTACTTTAAACTGCAAGAAAATTTTATGATAATTTGTTTATTGTTTAGATGCTACCATACACACTTCTGTGGAACAGACTGCTCCTAGAATGACAGCTATCAATCAAAATGACTATCAAACTTTTTTCTCTTTTACAATATATTTATGATAAATTAAATTTTTTAATACAAAAATTTTAAAAAGTACATAAATAAAAATATATATTTAAATCTTTATATACATGGTAATGTAATTTCAAATAATGTAATAATGGGATTTGACTATATCTGTTTATGTGAAGTCAGCATTAATGTCAAGTTGATTTGTGGTCCTGTGAACAAGGATATGCATTTCAATGTTAACCAGTTTGGTTAATACAGTATATCAGTTAATATATAATACGAAGCATGATGAGATTCCATGAATTCAATAACAATTTATTGAGTCATTTAATACAAAACACACTGGGTCATGTTACTTTGGAGAAGCAGGAAGCAAAGTAGCAATGCACAAGCCACATCATAACCAGGAAAGCATTTTTTAACTTTGACAATGAAACTCTGACAAACATTAATGTTATCATCAAAGTTTTGTAGATATATACACACCAATGATATTCACTCCAACTAAAGAAAAAATTACACTTTCTCTTATAATAAGCACTTCATATGTTGTGACAACTCTGCGCAATTAGTTAAGACACTTGACATGCACAATAGAAACTAGAAGTTAATAGGATTGGGAAATATTCAAATAAAAATCTGTAGTTTTATAAAATAATTATTTTTAATTGCTTAATAATGAAAATAATAAAAACAACTGAATTAAATTACAATATTAAATACTGTAATTAGTTTTTAATTTTAAATTTAAAAACAAATAGTTTCCATTGAAATCCAAGCAAATAAGTTATTTTTAAATTTGTAAGTTTTACATGTATCCAGTAGCTTTAATCATCCAACTCTAACCAATGTCAAAAAATGGGCATTTATTCTTTCTTCAAGCCACTCAATAAAGTATAAAGTGTATGTTTGAAGTACCCCATAAGTTTATTTATTTTTGATATAGCAAAACAAGATAAAACCTAGCAAAATAACTGAGAAAATGTGGTTTTTGACATTTGTGGTAAAGACCATTGATTTTTTGTACAGGTTGTTAAATAGAAATCTTGTTAATAATATGAATTGCCAATTTTTAGTTCCTTCAACTTTGTATTAATGGAGTTTAACTATATATATAATATACCATATTTACTTGCATATAAGACGATCTTGCATATAGGACAAGATGGGACTTTAAAGATCAAAATAAAGAAAATTAGATTTATTAATACAATTCTAATTTTATTTTGTTTAATCACATATAAAATATCAAATGCATGTAAATGCACACATTGTACCGCAAAAATTACTAGCATTTTAAAAACTAAGGAAAAATCTTGTAAAATCGACAACATAATTTGTTCATGTAAAGTTGAACAATCGGGAATCCTTTTTGACAATTCTTAACAGTCAAATCAACTCTATGTCGATTACATGCGAGTTTCTCCGAATTCTGATTTCCGAATAATCATGTTTTCACATGGGAATGAATTAAAACTTATATCGGGCTCCCGTGTGATTTTGGAATTTCAATTCAAAAGCTTTGCTTTTGTAGATTTTCTATGGCAATTATATTATAAATAAATATCTGAAGACAGAGTCCACCCAAAAGGGACCACCATTTATTAACTTTGTGTTCCAGACTACACATTCTTGGTGACTGACCTTTCTTTTTAGGCTACTGGCTGCCAAAAAGCTAAAAAGTCCTTTTAAAAACACAAAAAATATATCCAGTTAGAAATACAAAAATTTTTTAAAAAGAACTGGTGACATACAGACATCTTCATGGTTTCCATCCGTATCTTCTTGGGGGTATTTTGGCTTTTTATCTACAAGGAAATGAGTGCTGGAAAATGTAGATTGTAATAGCTTTGCTTTTCCTATTGCTATTCATCTTTATTCCTAACAATACACAAGAACGATTGAAACAACCGAGATAAAATACTTTTGTTTTTAAATGCCAGAAGGTGAGCATCACATTTACAAAAATTATTGCAAAAACGCAAAAAATCCTTTGCTCGCACATATATGATAACCTAGGTTTTTGAAGCAGTGAAAAATGAATAAAAACCTCGTGTTATAGCAAGTAAATACAGTAATATATTTTCTACATCACTACAATTTTTTAAGTTTTTATTATTAACTTAAAAAAAATTGTAGTGATGTAGAAAATTAAAATCTCAACAAATTTCCAGGCCTGATTTAGGGTGTTAGTATCTTTAAAATTAATTGCTACATTTTTCTTATAAGCTATTGTACACAATTGTGAAGGTCCAAATCCTTTTTGTTTTAGAACAGTATCACCCCTCTAATAAACCTCATGATTAGGTGGAAAGGGAAAAGGGAAAAGATATATTTTCATTAATTTTATGATCACATTTTCAGAGACTTGTTCTCAGAATGTATATCATTCTTTTCCCAGATAAGGAAATATGTTGTACAGTACATATACATCAAAAAGCATCCAGAACATTATTCTGAATTTAATGGCTTATTTGATATGTATTGTGTAAATTTATAATTAGTATTGCTAGGAAACATCAGTTGTTTATCAGCTATAATACTATACTGGTTTGTAGAAAAGCACAGTTTCTGATGAACTTATTCTACACTTCTGACATCAGAGCATTCTTATCAGTTTTTGTCTTTATGAGAGGCTATTTTTCATATCAAAATACCATGTGAAAATCATATGCAATGAAGTTGTGTTGCAATATTTACTAAAATTATCATAAGTAATGCCTTTTTACTAATTTTAATTATGTTTTATTATTGTTTAAGTTTACAGTTTGAAACAATATATTATTTAATGCATTTGAATCAAAATGTTACAGATTTAATAATCTAAATTTCTGATATTTTTACTTAACTAGTCAATAATATTTTAAAAGAACAAATATTTGTAATATTAATATAACATGCTCCAAAACCAATAATCAATGCAAAATAAGGTTAAACAACAAATAACAAACATTTCTGTTGTTTAACCTTACTTTGCACCGGTTATTGGTTTTGGAACGTGTTATATTATAATTATCCCAGTTTGATATGCAGGTATTTATTTGTAATATTATTTCTAATATTATTTAAATTTTATTTGTTGACAATGAAATGCAGTTGAAAATTAGTTTTTCCACTACAAAATAGTAATTCATAAATGTACTTGTATATTTATTTAATTTTAAATGTACATATTTTCCTTCTTGTGACATGTAAAACTGACTAGAGTTTTTAAATATCACAAACAATTATTTTATTCAATATTTAACAACCCATATATTTAAAACACAGCAGTGTACAGGGCTCTGCTTCGAAAAGCTTTTGCCCATTGCAATGTCAAGGACACACTACAAGAAATACAATGTATTAAACACATCACCACAGCTCATGGTTATAGCAGTAAGTTAATAGAAAAGCTAGC